CAAATAATGTACAGGCTGTATATTGCTTTTTAAATGTTCAAGAACAAGTTTCTATCAGATTAATCTTCTGAAAGCCCAATTCCAATGATATCTTTTATCTTCCCAAAATCCTCTGAATTTTTATCATTTTCTAAAAATAAATACCAAAATTCTTAGCCTGACATTTGAAATCATCCATGACCTGACCTTTTCAATCTTATCTTTTATCGTTCCCCTTCATAACCTCTATTATTCCAAATAAATAGAATTACTTGCTCTTACTCACATATAACTTCTGCTTTTCAGCTTCACATAATCTTTAATGTTTTACTTGACAATATTTTCAAAGAACTCAGATATAAAGATTTGTCACAAGGATCTAAGAGTGGTTGCTTGAGAGTGTGAGCTCAAATTTCAAGAACTTAAATTTAATTTGTAAGCATTAATTTTTCTCAATACTATCACAAAACAGTACCAAAAAAAAGAAAAATGCACTTGACTATCTTTTCCCCAAATTATGTCACCCCCTCAATGCCAAAAGCCTCTACCATCATTTCCTGAAAACTCTAAGCTAGAACCACGGTCTCTAAGCAGTGTGTGCAGACCTCCGGGTACACAAGAGAAAAACTATCAGAGAAAATACTGCTTTTATTTTACATTTATTCTTTACCTTGCCCACGTTGAATTTCTTTTATAGTATATGTCTTACAACTTACATCATTTACTATTAGAATAGTAGTAGATACATGTAATTTATAAGCAAACACATTTGGGATTATTTGCTCAAAAATTATTTACTAATGGCATATACAGATATCCCCCACTTTTCAAAAGTTTGCTTTACACCACCATGCTTTTACAAAAGACCAACACTAGTATCTATTTTCGCCAACTGACAGAAATCTGAAGACGATTTTCACTTTTATGAAAAAAGGCGAAAAGCAGAAATATCGTTAAGGTGTTCGTTTTGCAGCCAGCCCTTAAAGGGCAGCATGCACCCCAAGCAACGACAGTGGAGTCACCAAGCTTCTTCCACAGGAATTACACTTAGCATCACAGCATCAAGCCGCCATAGCTTTGTTAGTGTTATTTTAGGTTTTATGTGTTATTCAGTACGATTTGGTAGGTTATTTTTGGGGTCTGGGAACACTCAAAATTTTTCCCATGTAAATTAATGGTAATTGC